ACATAATCTTTGCTGAGTATTGGCTAGGGTTCTAAAAACTGTGAGCAACTACCTAAGGTGAAACTACTGGTCTGTTCGTAGATGAACCAAAGAAGAATGAGGAGAAAGAAATGGATGAAACGATTTAGTCAAAAGGGTTAATAGGTCACTTGGTCATGCAGTCCTTAGAACAAACGACTATGCATGATAAAAAGTGTAGTATTTCTCAGGAATAATGATCAAAGTCAGGAATGTGTAATAAAGATTAGAAGTGGAAATGGCAAAACCAGGGAGAAAGTAGACAGAACCAGATATCAGACTTCAAATTAGAAAGCTTGATTTTATACCTTCTCTCCCTTTCAATCTACTTACATTTGTAGTTTTTTTAAAAAAATGATATTTTGCTTTGATAATAAATAATATTTTGAAAAGTCAAGACTTATTTCAATTATAGTTGTTTAATAATTATTAATCAAGTCTTACTTTCATAAAAATCCCTAGACTTTCGAGCACAGCACTTGGAACCTGGTACGTAACAGGAGAAATGTAAAGAAAAGTCTTTCATGTACAAGTGTGCTCTGCACGGAAGATTCAAATTGCAACTGAATCTTTCATTCTTCTTTATGCCCATGTTTTACTGGCTTAAAATAAGAGCTTATAAGAAATGGGGTTAATGAAATCTAACAGAATAGATAAGTAACATCTGACATCTAAATAATTAGGGTTTGTAAAATTAGCATATACTGGCTGGGAACTACTCTTTCCAAGGAGTTTTTCTCTATTAAAGGAAATAAAGCGACTTGTCTGGAGAGTCTTCTTAGAGAGTGATTTGAATCTTAACCAAATCTATTAAATAATTGTCTCCAGCTAATTCGATTAGTTTTAACTTGAATAATGAAGCCTCTAACAGTATTTAATGTAACTTGTCTAAAGTCCGACAATTGCTCTTTCTGAGTAAAACTAAACAATCAGAAACAAGATACATGGCATAGAGCATTAATGGGCACAGCTAAAGAGGCTATATCTCCTAAGAACTGTGGCACAAAACTATCTCCCAATTGAGAAAGATGGTGGCATTGGCGGCAAAAGGGAGTTGCATTATATACTCAAAGTAATTAAATCTACTGCTGCAACCTGTCCTTTCTGCAAACTAAACCAAGTTCAAAAGGCCCCTAGTTACAATTTGGGCATTTCTTCCCTAGAGTATTAAATCTGAAAATTCTTAGAATTTAGATGACTGAGAAAAACTCACAATTTATTGTTGTCTAAAGAGTTGTTTTGAACTATATCACACATCAAGGGTCATAAATTTAATATTTAATTGAATCCTTAATAAATACAGTCTACTAAAAAGTCTATTATTTCTATCCTTTGGTCTCTCAGATGTCTCAATCATTGATTGATCAGTTTCCTAGTTCTTCCAAAGATTTACCTCCCACTGAAAACATGTCTGGCTTCCTGCTCAACGGATGTTTATTTTGCTTAGTTTAGACGAAAATATAATTGCTAAAAAAGTGAGTTTCAACAACTCTAGCATTTCTAAAAGTCTTTTTGTTGATATGACAGCTCTGAAAATTACAGGCTTCTGATCAAAGGATTGATAATTATTTTGAAAAAAAACAGAATAAAGTCTGTCAGGACACTGGCACTGAGCCACGTGGATGTTGTCACTCTGTGTGTGTATGTGTGTGTAACAGAAAAGTAATACTAAACTACCTTTGGAAAGCAAGAAAACATTTTAATTAGCAATTAATCCTATATAAAAACCCTCTATAACAATTACAGCTTGGTTGTCTGGCTCCACAATCAAAACTCCTGGCACCAGCAGTCAGGAAATCAAAAGATAAATTGCATTGGGAAAATCTGCAGTCAGGGACCTCTCCAGAGTGCTGAAAAGCAACAATGTCCGTCTAGAGACTAAGATGCGCCTAACTGAGGCCATGGTCTTCTCAGTTATTTGTTATGCTCAGAGAGCTGGACAATGGCTAAGGATGACAGAAGAAGAATCAATGCCTTACAGTTTTGCTGCTGGAGAAAAGCCTGCCAAGAAAATAAGTAAGTCTGTCTTGAAGAGGGTGAAACCAAGTTTCTCTTTGGAGGCTAGGACTTTGAAGCTCCTTCTCACATACTTCGGGCATGTGGCCCAGAGAGATTGGTCCTTGGAAAATGACATGATTCTCAGAAGGGTGGAGGGGCAGCACAGGAGATAAAGACCCGAGATGAGATGGCTTGATACAGTAACTACAGTAATGGGGGTTGATGTGTTGGAGTGAGATTGGCTCAGAATAGGAAAGAATTAAGAGCTTCTGTACATAAATAGAATCACTATGGATTGCAAGCAACTTGAAGACACATTAAAAACAACAACATAGGCTACATAGAGCATATAAGTAATTTAGTAACTATTGCTCTCAAGGTAAAGTACTGAGACTAGGGGTTTTTATTCTGAAAAGTAAAAATAGATCATAATTGAAAAAACAAGTGCTAGACCATGGATTAGAATAGATGGTTGTTTACACCTGAGCTTCATGCATCTTAGTTAGCTGAGTAAATCCATCTCCTTAATCCACCTCACCCAGTTTGGTCAGAGGTGTGTATCCAAGAGTCAGTCATCAGAACAGAGCAAGGAAAAACTGCATGGTTCAAACTTGGGAAAAGCATATGCCAGGGATGTGTCCTGTCTCTATACCTTTTCATCTCTATGCAGAACAGATTATCCAGGAGGCTGGGCCGTGTGAGAAGAAATGTGGGGTCAAGATTGATGGAAGATCTATCAACAACCTGTGTTATGCATATCACACAATCCTCCTTGCTGAAACTGAGGAGGACATGAAGCGCTTGCTGCAGAGGGTCAAGGACTGCAGCCTTCAATATGGATCGAGGCTCAATGTCAAGAAGACAAAGATTCTCACCACTGGACCAATTGGCAGCATCAGGATGGATGGTGAAGAGATTGAGATTGTTCACAGCTTTAGTTTGCTTGGCTCCACAGTCAACGCTCTCGGCACCAGTAGCCAGAAAATTAAAAGACTTATTGTGATGGGAAAGTCTGCTCTTAGGGACCTCTCCAATGTACTGAAGAGCAATGGTGCCTCTCTGGAGACTAAGGTGCATCTGATACAGGCCATGGTCTTTCCTATCACTTGTTATGCATCAGAGACTTGGACAATGACTAGGGAGGATAGAAGGAGAATTGATGCCTTTGAGCTGTGGTGTTGAAGAAGAGTATTGAGGGTACTATGGACTGCTAGGAACACTAATAGATTCATCCTGGAAAGGGTTAAACCAGGTGGCTCCCTGGAGGCAAGGATTCTGAGACTCCATCTAATATACTTTGGACATGTTGTAAGAAGGGACTGGTCCTTGGAGAGGGACATCATGCTTGGGAGGGTAGAGGGACAGCACAGGAGGGGAAGGCCTTCTATGAGGTGGATTGATTCAGTGACTGAGGTAATTGGGATGGGTGTATCTGAGACAGTGCTATTGGCACAGGACAGAGCAGAGTTTAGGGCTGTTGAACATAGGGTCGCTATGAGTCACAAGCAACTCAATGGCACATAACAACAACAGCAACAATGTGTTATATATAAAAGCAGTTTGGTCAATATGAATAGAGTCATCTGTAAGAAGAAAAGAGCAAAACAAAAACCCTACTGACAATAAAACTTTGAAAGCAATTAAGTAGGATAGTGCTTATTACTCTAAAAAAGAAATTCTGTAGAGTTCTAGTAAATAGTAGGCTTTCCTAGTGCATTTATATTAATTAAATTTCCTAATAAAACTGTAAAGTTTCAGGTGAACAATGCTCTGAAAAACTGAGTGTAGAGCTGTTTAAAAGGGATATATGAATATGTATTCTTGTCATTACAGAAGTCCATAGTGAAGGCTGCATAATGGAGTAGACTTTCGGGGAGGGATTGCATAACAATGAAAGAGTTTTTCTTTTACATTTCAAGGAGTAGAGTGAATTGAGGGGAGGGGATGGGCGAGGAGAAAAATACAACAATGAATGACTGGAATCCCTAAGTCTCTGTAAACTTTCATTAAAATTAATAAAACTATATAAATGAAAAAAGTTGGTTTTTGTAGCCATTATGTTACCACCCTAGCTATCCCACACTGGTCTCTAGTTATCTTAACTGTGAACACATACTCTTGTAAATCATCAACAGCTGTAGGACTAATATAAGAGATAGTGCTTTCCACATTGTAGAGCATGACCGTGTGGTAGTACTGAAGAGAGTACTGGGGCTCTACTGTAGAGAGACTCTGGAAAAGTGTTAACCAGAGTAGTCCAGAGATAAAGGCCACAATTAAAGATTTTGCTTGCTGTATGATTTAACTGGTGACAGTGAAAGGTTTTGCTTGCTAGTTGATTGAAAGAGAAGGTTATTTATAACTGCTCTAAAACAAACCTTGCTAGATGATTTGGATTTGTGCTATTGAAGTGAATCTAGACTTTTACTAATTGAGGGATTATGTTTTGCAGTTAATCTGGTTTGGGACTGCTGGACTAAACATGGACTTTCCTTGAGTGATATTCTTTGCTTCCTCCACTCTCCAAATTATTTCCCTAATAAACCCCACTCTTGTTACCACAATTGTGAGTAAATTCTGTGGGTTGAACTCAATGATTGGTGAAAATAGGTGCAGGACCATGGGTGGTGGTGTGTCTGACCGAGCAGCTATTTGTTTGCTGCTATGGCTATTATCGATGGGTACAGCTACCCTTTATGAAGTGGTTAGAAGTCAGACTCAACCTTCCCCACATTGCATACACTCCTTAAATACTGAGTCAGCTAAACTGAAGGAAGAATTTAAAAGAATCTGCTTATTTCAAACCCTAGCATATTGCTTACAGAAGAGCCGTATCTACTCAGCATTAACATTTTTACAGTTGATAAGGTATATGGCTTCCCCTCAAAATTTAAAGTTTATAAAAGTGAAAAGACATTTTTTATGACTTCAGAAAACATCTCTTTTATTCTAAGATATATTTTGTTTTATGCAAAATCACCTACCAGAATCACCTTGTCCAAAGGCATTGCTTTGCACCAGTGAAACATGCCACTGCTATCAAGTTGCTCATTAGTTTGGACACGGTCATCTGAAAAGTTCCTAAATAAGGATAATAGAGAGTTAGTGTGAGAATATTTGGGGCTCCAGCATAAGAAAGACAACTCATTAAATCCTTGGGCTATAAGTGGAAAACAACATAAGGAAAATCATCTGAAGCCTGTGAGATCCAGTGTTGAAAGGGCATCGATAGCCGACTGGTCAGACTCTGACACAATTGAAAATTGTCTGTTAAAACACTAACAGACACCATAGAGTCTACTCATTTTACCTTACATTATGTATACCTTGAAAGTGAAGTGGTTGAGGTACGTGAATACAGAATTTTAAAAAACAGTGTGGTTGAGACATGAAGGACTTCTCTTTAGTATTTTTCTCCCACTTCTTCTTCCCTTTAGGGTCCTTGATGGTATATTCTTAACTATATATAGCGTCTTACTTTATATATATCAACAATCACTAGCTTGCATTTGGATAGATTTTGCTGTAGTCTTGGTCTCAATCTTGTTCAAGCCCTCTGTTTGATTTTTGTGTATTGCAGCCAAGTAAAAGTCCTGTTGTACACTTTATAGAAAGGGTTGAACCGCCTTTTGAAATATCCATATACATCATAGGGAGTGTATGTTCACTTGGTAGAGAACAAAGGGTACCCTTCTAGAATGAAATAAAGCTTAAGTTAGTCAGGAGAATCTCCTGCTTCTAAACCCGCCATAGTATGCTATTGTTGTTATATGCCATTGAGTCACCTGCGATGTACAGCGACCCTATGTACAGCAGCTCTGAACCCTTCTCTGTCCTGAGCCAGTTTCCCTAATTCTGACATACCAACCTCTATTGCCTCAGTTACTGTATCAATTCATCTCATCCAGGGTCTTCCTCTTCTGCACTGTCCGTCCACCTTTCTGCGCATGATGTCCTTCTCCAAGGACTGATCTCTCCTGACCACATGCTCAAAGTAAGTGAGGTGGAGCTTCAAAATCCTAGGCTCTAAGGACCATAAAACTTTTAAAAATGAAGCTATCTATTTAGGAAGCTCTGGTCATCTAGTTTTAAGGAACTATGTTGCCAACCCAAAGGCACAAAGTTTGAATCCACCAGCTGCTCCATGAGAGAAAGATGACCAATCTCCTCCTCTGTGACTTACTGCTACAGGAAACCTAATGGAGTGTCAGCTATGAGTCAGTTCTGATCCTACAGCACACAACAACAACGATTATCCATCTTTCAGTCATCTCTCACTATCATCTACTTTTCATATATGTTATTAGCTCCCAAAATACCTTTGGGGTATGCTATAATGCGTCACACTATAGGTTCATTTCTGATAATCAATAGTTTATGAGGATATTCTTCTGTGGTATTTAATTCCATGTTTTGGGAGAAATACAAGTTTATTACTCTATTATACTAATGAGTGAGAAGATTTCCCAGTAAATTAGTATAACTTGTTATTCAACATTTGGCCCAAAGACTCAGGCATCAACATAATGACAAGCAATTTTCCTCTTCTCAAATGAGTCACCTTCTGAGTTACTGTCTGAGACCATGATTTATCAGACAAAGGAACTTATTTGAACTTATACTGACATCAGACATAGAAGACTTAGCCAGAGAGGTGGCAAAGAAGGGTTAGAGTATTAAAAGGAACTTTGGAAGGGAACAACAATTTTAATTTTGTAATCAAAACCTTGCTGTAGTGTTTTATTTTTCCCTTCACTTAAGTTTTATCTTGAAAGGTAACCACTTCACCAAGCCAGAAGATGCACTGTAAGCCTCAAGGTTAACTTAACTAAACTATAGATCATTTTGCCTTCTCAAATTAGTATGTGTTAGGGTTTGGGTGGTTTAAGTACTATCCATAAGTTACAAGCCCCAGCAGACCTCTAAGACCTCAGGGGAGATGGCTTCATACTAAGTTTGTTACAGTGTCTCTTCAAGGAATCTACCTAAGTCTTTAATTGGCTTTTGATTTTTAGCAGGACCATATTACTTTTGCGCAAAGACTTTCTTTCCTTCATACTTAGCATCTTAGACATTATCCTTCTTACTTCTCAAAATACATGTTGATATAATGTACCAAAGTTGGTGGTGTTTGCCTTTCTTGGACTCTTAGATAGTGATTTAGAAATAGCCATCTTCCTTTAGAAAAGTCATTCTCTGCCCTCTGACCTCAGTGCTAAAATTTACAACTATTATTGCTATTTTTTTCCTTGTTACCATCTTCGGCTTTCCCTACTTTCTATCTTCTCCTCCTCTTTTCCAGTGACGAATGAAGAGTCCTTGGTCTAGTGATTAAATGTCTTTTTGGAAATTGGAATATGATATTCTCACAAATACATTTTAACTTGACTCAGAATAGAAAATCAATCATTGTACACTTTTCTATCATAAGAGCATGATCTATGTACACAAGCTGTCATAGACAACATCTTTCTTCATTCTGATGTTATGGAAAACAGATATGCCTTAGAGGAAACACCTGTTAGAGACCTTCTGAAAAGAAGAAAGGCTGGAGGAGACCTACTTCATCATAAAGGCATCCATCTGGTGTCCTTGCCAAAGCAAAACCTAATGCAATGTAGATCATCATCCTTTAACTACAACTCCCTTTTGCCATATGCTTTGCAAATGACATGATCCTTGAAGAAATGTACTTTCCTAAAGAGACTAATAAATCATCTATGAGAATGCTTAATACTACCATTCTGAGAATTGCAGTCAGAGTAGAGGTTAAATACTGTTGAAGAAAAAGATAGCCACAAAATCTTCTAGATAACTTATGGTAAAAAAGAAAAGATACAACTTCTTGATACATAGTCTCTTAGATGAGAGGGCTTTGTGTCGGGAGGAGGCTAGGAAGGTTGTGATATTGTTTACCTGGAACATGTTTGGAAAGGGGCTGAGATTGGTTCACTGCATCACAAGGTATGATTCTATTTAACAGAAACAGTATGGAACTCACCCTGGAAGGATTCAGGAAGACACTGAACTTGGGAATGTATTAAGTTAGGTCATTGTTAAGTTAGGTCATTCTATCTCCCTTCTGCCTTTAGAAGTTGAGAGTTAAGAGTGTATTGGGTGAGAACAGCTATTGCAGTCAATTCACTTTTAAAGGTAACATTCTTAAACTCTCGGACTATCTTTTAGGGTGTTCCATCCTTCTAATGACTGATTTGTTCTGTATGAAGCCAATGCTTTGTGAGTATATGCTTGAAAGGTCCTAGTGAGGGAATGCAAGCTCATTTCAGCTCTGGAATTTTAGTCTTCATGTTATAGCAACTTATTTTGTATAAAATCTAGTTTTAAAAAGGAAATATAAATAAAGAATTATGTGTTGAGTTTTCAACATTTGGTATGTTAGTTGAAGGAAATTAAGTCACCTGAGTAGAAGGAGAAACTTCAATTAAGAAGGTAGAATTGGAAATCAGGAAGCATGAAGAGTACTGAAGAGCAACAATGTCAGTCTGGAGACTACTGTGTGTCGGCAATATGCCACGGTCTTTGCAATCACTTGCTATGCATCAGAAACCTGGACAATGACTAGGGATGGCAGTAACAGTATTGATGCCTTTGAGCTGTGGTGTTGAAGAAGATTATTGAATATACCATGGACTGCTAAGAAAACGAATAGGTTTGTCCTAGAGAGGGTGAAGCCAGACTGCTCCTTGGAGGCAATGATTCTAAAGCTTCATCTGACATACTTTGAACATGTTGCAAGGAGGGACCAGTCCTTGGAGAGGGACATCATGCTTGGGAGGCTAGAGGGACAGCACAGGAGAGGAAGACGCTCGATGACATGGGTTGATTCAGTGACTGGGCTAGTGGCAGTAGGTGTGTCAGAGACAATGAGATTGGCACAGGATAGAGCAGGGCTTAGGGCTGTTGTACATAAGGTCGCTATGAGTCACAAGTGACTCAAAGGCACATAACAACAACAACAACAACAACAACAACAACTTCACCCATCAAATTGTGCGACTCTATGATTAAGCTCCCCTTTCCCTCCTTGGATTCTTGTACTTGTTCTACAATAATGGTCTTATATGGTATTTGTCCTTAAGACACTGTGTTATTCCACTTAGCATAATGCTCTCCAGTCCCTCCCATATTAGATATTAATTTACAAAATCATTGTTCCTGTGCGCTGCATAGTATTCCATTGTGTGAATGTACCCTAATTTCTCAATGCATTCCATTGTGGTCATTTGGGCTGTGGCTGTTGCCATGTTCTTGATATGACGAATAACACTAATATGAACACTGGTGTCCAAGTCTCTATTTGTGCTTCCGTTTCCATTTTCTTGAGCAGTGAAATAGCTGGGTCATATAGAATTTGATATTCAATGAGGAAATAAAACCTATCAAATGAGGAACTGACAACCCTTTCAACACATGGTAGTGGCAGAATTAGACTGCTTCTTGCAGAAAGCTGAAACAGGATCCAAATCTCACACCATATAAAAAAAGAAAATCAACTCAATGTGAATCAGAGACCTTGGAATAAAGCTCCAAACCCAAAAAGTTCATAAGATACAAACCGGGGCCAAGCTTAGAAGGTGTAGCCTATGGTATAAAGGGACTGCCAAATAAAGTCAGAAATGCACAATCTGAAGAGAATAAAATTGATGAATGGGACCTTCTAAGATTAAATATCTGTGTTCATCAAAAACTTTTTCCAACAGGATGAAAAGAAAACCTACTGACTGGGAACAAAACTTTGGTAATACCACCTCAGACAAGAATCTCATCATGAAAGTGTACAGATTCCTATTTGACCTCCAGAAGAAAAAGACTGATGACGCAATTACAAAATGGACAAAAGACATGGAATGACTTTTCACAGAGGAAGACATTCAGTTGGCCAACAGACACATGAAGAAATGTTCTAAATGAAGAATCGCTCTAACTGGCAATTAGAGAGATGCAAATAAAAAACACAGGGAGGTACCATTTTCCTCTCCTTTGCTAAGGAATAGCCTTGTCCTTCTCCAAGGAATAGTCCCTCCTAGCAACATGTTCAAAGTATATGAGGTGAAGCCTCA